GCCACGCTTGGGTATCACACTGTCCGATTTTGTGAGGTTCCAGTCAACGGCAGCGAGTGCTGCCTTTTCCAGCGGATCACCCACCAGGCCGTCATCGAGTATCGCCAGCGAGTGACAACAGGCGAGCACCTGTATTGTGTTGTCCTCGGCCTCATCAATGGGCACACATTTGCCATTGGGCGACAGGCCCGCAATGCCCTCAACCATTAGATTATCCGTAGTCAGGGTGCCCGTCTTATCGAAGCAACAAATTTGCACTTTGCCCGCAAACGGAATTCGGAATGGTTCCGTGCAAAATACATATAATTTGGTTAACTGAATAAGCGACGTATTCACGGCCAGCGTCAGCTCTATGGGCAGATCAGGCGGTATAATCGAGGTCAATATGAGCGCACACTCCAGAAACAGTTTATAGCGGTTGCGTTCCGGATCCTCGCTTCCCTTGACCCACACATAAGATGCGGCCGCAACCGCAAATACCATAAGAAAGGCAATAAATGCAAAAGTCTCGGCATTGTTTTCTGTAGCACGATTCGCGCCAAAGAGTATGGTGCGCAGCAGTTTGCCCTGGGAGGTGTTGAAGCCAGTGCGTATGACATAGCCAATGCAGCCACCGTCTGGCGCACGCATCGATTCCTTGCTGGGCGCCGTATGCTGCACCACCTTGGTGCCGCCAAATAGCACTGTCAGCTTGCCCTCGCCCTCAGCATCCAGTTCGGTGTTGAGCTGTTGTAGCGATTCGAGAGATTCCTTCATTTGTGGCACTGACTCACCCGTCAACATACTCTCGTCAACAATACAGGTGCCGCGCAATACAACCACATCGCAAGGCACAATATTATCGTTCTGTGAGCGTGTTATAGACACCAGATCACCGGGCAGCAGCTCATCGCTGCCGATTTGACGCCATTTGTTCTGGCGGAGGGCATATATGAAATACGGTTTATTGCCCATTTTACGTATCTCGGACATGTTGCGCAGCTGCTGCTTAACAATTGTGCACTCGAAGGCGATCAACATGAAGAGCGTGAATAGCGAATAATACCAGAAATCATCCATGCACCACAGACCCACAGAGAATACTTGGAATACAAAAAACGGAGCAGTGGCGCGTTCTATGAACAGCTCATGAAACTCGGGCACAACCATGTCCATTTCATTGTTGCCATAGGTCTGCATGGCCGTCTTAATTGACTGCTCCGTCTCCAGACCACGGGAGCTGGCGTAGGTGCTCAACAGTTTGTTTACAGGAAACTCAACCGCACGGAATATAGCTTTATCCGGATCCCATACGTATTTGGTCTTTTGGAATACCAGATAATATTGCTGCTGTCCATCCTCCAGCTTAAGGCTGCGTATGGGCACTATCTTGGAGTTGCCATTGTTCGCTGTGGGCACCACTTTGGCCAGAACACCCGGTGCCGGCTGCTTGACGCGTCGGCACGTAAGAAATGCCAGTACATGTACACTCCAGTAGCAAAAGAGTAGCGTGAGCACATGCAGAAATGCAATGGCCACCACAGCTATGAAACCGATATCATTCCACGCGGCATTCGCTACATTGTCAAGGGGCTGCACGTCATTCGTGTTTGTTGCAGCTGCTGTCGTTTCCTGTGCGGCATCATTGTCGTGGCTTTTGTACACGTAGATCCATAGATAAAATGCAGTCAGATAGAGGGGGACAAAGGGCAGTACCACGCCACTTAGCGGCGTCGGTTTGCGCACGTGTAATGTCACATATTGCACGAGATCGTCCAGCGCGGCTGGCGGCAGTTTAGTGTAATTTTTTTTATTGTTTTTGTTATTGTTGTCGCCGGCAGCGCCGCCCGTTGTGGCCGATACGCTCATCAGTGCCGGTTGCTTGCAGTCTTTTCCTTTCTCGTTGCTTTCGTGTGAGCGTCGTGTTTTCACTCACAATTCTAATTACTTAAAGTTCGTACAAAAATTAATTGTGAAAAAAAACGCAACGTTGTCGCACAGCTGCTTGCGTCGCAGTGTGTGTAATCAAAAAAAAATATATATATAGATATTTACTCGTTTATGAACACTGTCAATATCGGTAAGCTATCGTCTAGGCAGCACTTTACCGATACTGAAACATAGTTCCGGCAGCCCTGGAAGACAACTCTGCTCTGTGCAGACAATATACAACAACTTCTCTCATAAGTCTGCGGGGCTATTTATTATTGTGCTATTTATTGACACTAATTTAAGTTTTATTCATGTAAAATTTTTGTCAAACGAACAAGTAGAATGTAAAAATGCTGAAGTACATCAAAAGGCAGACGAGTAAGTGATAAAAAGCACGCAGTTTTTGATAAGAAAACAACTGACTGTTTGTGTTTATGTTTTGGTGTCAATTTCTATTTTTCGACGCGCACAAAACAGGCCGCCGACGCAGCTCTCACGAAACGGATGCCAACGGCGTTGATGATGTGGTAGATTGTGCGGCAGCGGCGCAAAAACGTCATTCGTTGCGCTCAACAACAAGTTTCTGTGATGAGGTCTTCATGGAGGAGGAGACGGAGGCGGCGGCAGTGGCAACTTCGGATGCAATCAGCTTGGGCAACAACAGTTTGCTAAATGTGGGCGCAGCTGCCGATGAAGGTAATGAGGCAAATGTCAGTCACAGTGTATGTACATATTAAGTATGTGTGTGTGTGTGTGCTATTGTTGTTGCCTTTGCTTTTGCTGTGGTCATTTCCGGAACTGCACAATACTCATAAATTGCGCCTTTAATTGACTTATCACGTTTTGACGCTCTTTACAGATATATTCAAATACAGCTCGCGTCTCTCCATGACGCTTACTGCAATCGTTAGCGAACCGGATTGTCTGAGCTACTTTCTGCAGTATTTGGAGACACAAAACGCGCTGCCGCTCATCAAATTCTATTTGGACATAGAAAACTTTAAACGCGCGGCATTAACACAGCTGCACCAGGAGCGCCCACAGGATGCAACGGTTGCGGCTACTGCTTCAGTGGAGGCACCGAAGCTTACGCCTGTTGCCGACGCATCCATTGAGGAGGAGGAAAACGATGTACCTGAAATGAAAACGTTGTGCGATTTGTCCATGCGTAAGCCGCTCACCGACGACGAGAAGAGTCGCATCTATGCGGAGACAAACAAACAGATCAACCATAAGCCAGCAGTTGCGCCGATGGGCCGAACCAAAGCAAGCTCGGAACTACAGCCGATAAGTGCGGCAAGCATCAACGATGCGATTGCCATTTACCAAAAGTATTTGATTGTTAATGCGCCGCTGTTGGTGGAGCTACCCATTGTCATCTTGGCGCACATATCGCTGTTCTTGTGTGGCAAGGAGAGTGACAAGTCGACACAACAGCCCGTACCTGCCGGCTGTTTCGACGAGGCTCGCGACTATGTGCTGCAGCAGTTGGAGCGTGATCATTTGCAGGGCTTCTTGCAGAGCAGTTACTACTGCACCTACTGCCTGGAGCTGATCGAGGGCGATGCGGCAACACTGAACATCTACGACGTGCTGTACGATGAGCTGGCGCTGTTCTATCTAACCGAGTACCTGGAGCAGCAGCAGGAGCGCGAGTGCCTAGAATTCTGGATAACAGCAATTAACTTTCGCAAGAGTTACGATGATCAACGTGCCGCTCAGTCCGATGCCATGATCATTTACGAGCGCTACTTCTCGCTGCAGTCCGAGTGTCGTTTGTGGATGTCGCAGAAGTTGCGTTTGCGCGTCGAACAGGCCATCTGTGCGCCCGGTCAGCTGGCACAAGCCTTCGATCTGGCGCTGCTGGTTACAGCCAAATACTTGGAACAAAAGCACTTTGCCAACTTTCTCAAATCGAACATATTCGACAACTATGTTAACGAGCTGAAGGCTAAGACGTGCACACATACGCCGCCGGACACCACAGATAGCTCGAGTCTGCAGCACAAGCTGAGTCTGCGGCGCACACCCAAATTGTCAGCACAGCAGCGACATCGCAAAACGATGTCCATGTCCGACTGCACGCACATCTCGCAGCACAATACACTACTGGCCGGCCTGGATACGGGTCACAAGCCTGTCAAAGCGTCGACAACAACAACAACGGCCGCCAACATGAACATCGATTCCAGGCAGCTGACAAATCCGCAGCTGCTTTGGCAACGTCCGGTGAGTGCGCTCAAATTTGGGCACGTGAACTCGCTGGGCAGATACGAGCGGGACTTTGAGGCCGTAGATGCCGTTTCGAACCACAAAGCGCCAGCCTGGTCGCTGAGCGTTAAGAACGCAATGCGCAAATTGGTAAATCTGCCCGAGGATAATGTGCAGGAGGAGATCGCCTGGCAGGTGGCCGAGATGATTGTTAAGGATGTCACCAGCGTGACGCTGCAGACCAAACATTGATGGAACAAGCTAACAGCTAACGCAATATTTATTTAGTTTATATACACAAACGAAACAAATTTATTTATAATTTGGCGCTCAAATATTTGAGGAATCTCGCATGCAGAGTTGCGATAGCATCTATTTTGATAGATCGACAGCCACTTTTTTAAAGCGGCTGTTGGCAACACTGTTCAACAAGTGCACAAATCGAACGAAAGCTCTCTTAAATGCAACAATGTTCTCTCCCTCTCTTAGACGCTTGCTCTCTTTTAAGCTACTATACTCTTTTTAAAGACTACTGAAAACAGATGTTTGATTGTTTGTGAAACTTAAGTTATTCATGAACTTTGAAAGTTTTTAAAGCTTTCTTAAACAAAACTTTCTCTTGCTCACTCGCTCATTTGTTATGTAAAGCACACACACACACACACACGCACGCACGCAAGTTTCCTTGATTTCGTACCTACAAAAAATATCTTACTGACATTACAAAAACAAAGCATATTTAAACTTGTACTTTCATTCCGCATGTTTTGCTTAATTTTATGTAGTATAAAATATTTATGCATATACATAAATATTTTTGCATACTAAAACACTATATAACAAAATAATTGTTACAAATAAACTTTTTTCTATGGAAATTTCAATATTTTTTTAATGGTTTTATTATGCAGACGAGAAGCAAATAACTTTTGATGAATTGACTTGTAAGATTGAGCTAGGATATTCCCGAAATGAAGTGGAATGAATGTTCTTTGAAAACCAATAAAGGCAATGAAAAGATCACTGAAAGTTTATAGGCTGAAAGGATTTGAAAGCTTGGAAATCAGCGATCAAAAATTAAATCACGCGCATTTCTTCAAGTTTTCAGTACTGAAAGCTTATTATCTATCTTAGGAGCTTAATTATGATTTTATAAAAATATATTAAAGCATAAGACTAAAAACCCCTGTAGTTGATATTCAAAGGCATTCACGACTCTTAAACTCGCTACAGCTCAAGGGTTAGTATTGAAGATCGTCCTCTGGCAGGTTGCCTGTTTCGCTGAACCAGCGCAGGATGCGCAGCATAGTCTTGGCGGAGTACAAACAGAATGGATACTCATTGTAACAGCGATCAGTGCGTCCGCGCAGCGCCAGACCACGACTGAAGGCGCGACCAATTTTGGCTGGCGCCAGTTCCAGTGATGATTCCATAAAATTCATCAGCAGCTCGGCCTCTGCCGAATGTGCCTCCGCGCCCGACATTAGCTGACAGATGAGCGACTGCAAACACTCGAAGGGATCGCGGGCAAGTATGCGCTTCCAGTCAATGGACGCGGCTTGATGCTGTGCACCCGCATCCTGCCGGCCATGCACCCAGCTCAGTTCGCGGCTCAATGTGGCACGTTTGCCACGTTGCAAGCTTAGAGCCGAGCTGGACTGGCCAATGAAACTGGTCACCCCTTGCAGATTCAGGGCCGAGCTGGCCTGTCCTGCCAGGTTCGTGATACCCTGTATGGGTCGTATGCGATTCCAGTCCTGTGCCAACAGATGCATCATATACATGGCGCCCAGACCCATAACAGCCAAAAGTACTACACTAAAAACAAAGAGACAAATTATTATAATATATTAAGTTGGTGAGGATTTCGAAAGGCTGCCCACATACCGGACTCCCATTTCCAGTTGCTCACTTCGAACGCGTCCGTTTAGCTTCGTGGCCAGCGTCTTAATGCGCAGCCTTGTGGCGCGATTTCATGGTTAAAGCCGCGACTATCTCCAGTTTGGCCAGCCAGACCAGCGAGCCGCCAATTTGTTTTGGCCACATTTAAACCAGCCCACAAGCGCACAACTTTCCGCAGTTGGAATCATGCAGCCATGACATAATCGCCAGCGACTTCGACATCCAATCCAGATGCAGGCGCCAATTTGATTTGGCCGTCAAACGGGTTCGTGTGGTTTTTGCTTTTGCCATTTTCTTTATTTTATTTTGGTTTTTCCTTTTTGGTTTGCCTGCAACTAGTTTTCCTGCGCCACTTGGCTGGCATTGTTTTTGGCCAAGTTTTGGTTTTTCATTTATCCGTTTGCTATTTGTTATTATTGCGCCAGTTTCAATGTTGCGGTCAAATAAATTGAACTTTGTGCAAGGCAGTGACCATGGCAGTGGGTCACATAGCCAACGGCTGAGGAAAATGCTCGGGAAAAGCCTGCCGCATCAGTTCGGAAAAGCCGCCAAATATCCGAAGTCTCCTAGCTTTCTGCAATGTCATGATGCTCGATCAACTTCAAGGCAATCAAGTACTCCATACCGAATCAAGGAAATCGTAACTGATTGCCAAACTAAAAGTGAGAGTTAGAAAAACATAAGTATTGATTATTGAAATTATGTCATAATAAATAATATCAACTAAAGGCGCCCGAGCAAGGACTTGCGAATAACTGCTGAATATTAAGTAAAATTAAATGATTTTCGAAACGAAAATAAATAAATAATAATCCGATTTCTCTTTAAATAGATTATACTGTAAAATCAAAAGAAAATTTAGTTTATGGCAAAAGTTAAATGAAAAGATATTCAAAAGGAAATGAATTATAGGCGAACGATTTTTTAAAAGAAAAGTCCAGTTTTGATGAACAACTAATATAGGCAACTGAGCAAGAAATCCCGAATCTCTTTAAATATTAAATGAAATAATAAAATGATTCGCAAAGAAAATCATTAGTAGATCAAGTTTATGTCCCGGAAACATCACATTGTAATAAAAGAGATCTAAGTATTCATACAATTCATAAAAAGCATACACAGAAGATATATGTGAACTGTTTATCTAAGAAAATGCAGCCAGCCCAAAACTGGGTCACCTGCAGCCAAAAGCTGTGCAAAATTAAGCTTATGGATCGCATAAAATAAAAAATATCCACTCGATTTTGCATAAGCTTTAAGCTGTGTGCAGAAATCGCATAATGATAAACTTTTGAAGCAAATCAAATCCAGTTGAAAAGAAAGCTTTGCCAGGCGCCTATAAAATGACGTTGCGCCCAGGCGGCGGCTTTAGTCGAAACACTGTTTGGGCAAACTGCAAGAGGCAAAACGCAACGGCAACATTCACTGCAACAACCGCTTCGCTGGCAAATTGTGGATTACGCAACGGCTCAAAGGAAAGTGAAAGCCACAAGTGACCGCAACGGATGTTGCATCACAATTTGCCACTCTGTGCAGCATCCACTGAAATCAAGACGAAATGTTTTACGCCGTGATCTTCTTTGCAACAATTGTGCTGCTCTTCCTTATCAGCGGCACAAGGAAGCCGGACAAGTTTCCGCCTGGTAGGTATGAGCCACAAAAGGGAAGCAGAAAAGCCCTTTTTGGAAGAATATAAATCTATCTATTACCTTCATCTTCAGTCACAGATTTTAAGCTATTCTGTTGCAGGGACTATTTGTATACTCTGTTTCCCAAGAGCAACAAGTGCATATCGGTTGGGGGTAGAGTTCATCTTTGTGTCAATAAGTTCTCCAAATTCAATTATAGATATTGTTGCTCCACTTTATATTATGCATTGGTCCTACTTGGATTATGCGACTATAGTTGAATTCCTAAAATATATTAAGAAAAATATATTATTACACAGAGCATCACGCTTCCAACTGCAACCTGCCTTGAACATCCATTCCTTATAGCTTGTCTTTAAATTAGTTTCAAGTGATGAAATCTGTTCTTTTTCTACTCTAACAGAGAATGTTGTTACAATAAATTTCCCTTTCCATTATTATTACCAATTAGGTCCACGCTGGTATCCGATTGTGGGCAGCGCCCTGCAGATCTCGCAGCTGCGCATGCGGCTGGGCATGTTCTGCAAGGTGATCGATGAGCTGGCCAGGCGTTATGTCAATCCCTATGGTTATTATGGTCTGAAGATTGGCAAGGATAAAGTGGTGATTGCCTACACAAATGAGGCCATCAGCGAGATGATGACCAATGAGGACATTGACGGCCGTCCGGACGGCATCTTCTATCGCCTGCGCACTTTCAACTCCCGCCTGGGCGTGCTGCTCACCGATGGCGACATGTGGGTGGAGCAGCGTCGCTTCATATTGCGCCACCTGAAGAACTTTGGATTCGCGCGCAGCGGCATGGTGGATATTGTGCACAATGAGGCCAGCTGCCTGCTGCAGGATCTGCGCGCACGGGTGTCAGCGTCGGGCGGCAAGCAGGCGCGGATTGAGATGCACGATCTGACCAGTGTCTATGTGCTGAATACGCTGTGGTGCATGCTGAGCGGTCGACGCTATGAGCCTGGCTCCGCAGAAATAACCGAGCTGCTGGAGACGTTCTTTGAGCTGTTCAAGAACATCGACATGGTTGGTGCACTCTTCAGTCACTTTCCGCTGCTGCGCTTTATTGCGCCCGATTATTCCGGCTATAATGGCTTCGTGGAAAGCCATCGGGCGCTCTATGCGTTCATGGGCAAGGAAATTGAGCTGCATCGCAGCACTTATCGCAATTATGATGAGCCGCGTGATCTGATGGACAGCTATTTGAGGGCCCAGGAGAACAGCGACAGTCCCATGTTCAGCGATGAGAGCCTGTTGGCCATCTGCCTGGATATGTTTCTCGCCGGCTCCGAGACTACCAACAAAAGTTTGGGCTTCTGTTTCATGCATCTTATTCGACAGCCGGAGATACAGGAGCGCGCCTTTGCCGAAATCAAGGAGGTGGTGGGCCTGGAGCGCATACCCGAGTGGTCCGATCGTGCCAAGCTGCCCTACTGCGAGGCAATCACAATGGAGGCGGTGCGCATGTTTATGCTGCACACCTTTGGCATACCGCATCGCGCCATATGCGACACTCGCCTGTCTGGCTACGAGATACCCAAGGACACCATGGTAATTGCATGCTTCCGCGGCATGCTCATCAATGCAGTCGATTTTCCGGACCCAGAAACATTCGATCCGACACGCTATCTGATCGATGGCCAAATCAAATTGCCGGAGGCCTTCAATCCGTTTGGCTTCGGGCGACATCGTTGCATGGGCGACTTGTTGGGGCGCCAAAATCTGTTCATGTTTACCACAACGCTGTTGCAGCACTTCAAGCTGGTGGCCATTCCCGGCCAGATGCCAGAGGAGGTGCCGCTGGAGGGCGCTACGGCGGCAGTGAAGCCATACGATGCAATGCTGGTTCCCAGATTGTCCTGAGGAGTCCAAAACAAATGCATATTTGATCAGAAGATTCAGGAAAAATCAGAAAAACATGTGGAAAATGCAACATTGCCTACATAATAAAGCCGTTATTTAATATCTTAAGAGTTTGTATCGATATAATATCGCAATAAATCTTTAGTCAAGTTATCGAAGCAAAATTCGAAAGTTATCGAAGTAATTACTGATAACGTCAATAATTGCGCTTGGTATGCTGTTCGCGTACGCATACTTGGCTTGATGATAAAGAATATGGAAGAGCGCGCATCGAATTATGCCCTAATCCGATTTCTTGTTGAATTATTTAATACGAATTGAACACAATATTTTCTACATTCTCTAGTTACGTTTTTAATTTCTCATATAACTATAATTATTATTGTTCATTGTTGTTGGGTTTGTTAAATAGTCTACAAAGTTGTCATTTAGTTAATTTGTTTTTGATTCACATTAATTCCTTACTGTTCAATTTCATTTCATGTTGGCCTCTGATATTTCGCACGTTCTTCAGCAAACAACAAAAGCATTTCAATTGTGCATACAAATTACAAAATTAAATTTAAGCACTAAAAGTACAATACAAATACGAATACAAATACAAATATATGAAAAACGATTTATCAGCTAAGCGTACAAATATTGCCACAGATTGAATGTTCAATATGTATTTAGAATGCGCATTCAACAATATTTCTTGTTCTCTATTTTCTTCTTTTTCCCTTTTTTCTTTGTTATTGTTATTTAAAGCTATTTGTTTATATGCATAGGTTTTGTGATTTATGCTTGGAAAACAATTGTTGCTCGAAATCTTTCGATCTGCATTTTCTCTGGTAAATATATGTACATATATGTATATATATATATATATATATTTTTTTTGTTTTGTTTTGCGGTATTTAAAATTTGAAATTTGTGTATGTGTTGAAATTCTCACTCTTCAGCCTGCTACTAGACACTGGGCTTACATGATCTAATTATAATATATATATATATATATATATATATATAGTATATATATATAGTATATATATATGTATATATATATGTCTGTTTGGGGTGTGTAAAAACGCTAACAATTGTCACACAAATAGCAAAGCCAGCGCTGTCGATTCATAACTTATTTGCATATTTTAAGCATTTCTATAAAGTAACATTAACTTTTCATATATCTAAGCCATTAGATGATTTTAATATTGTTGCACACACGCCGACACTTTAACGATCTTGGTCCATGATTCCAACGCGCGAGAGGAAGAGTACGTATTATAAATATATATATATATGGTATATAAAAACTATGGGGTTCGCTTGAGTTTGAATTTCAGGTGAAATAAATAAAGTGAGTTCAGTTAGTTCACAGGCAGGTAATACGCAATCGTATTAGCTGCCTGGGCCACTGAGCTTTTGGGGGATATGTTCAGTTCTAGGATTATAGTTAAGTGTTAGGGACTAGGAGACTAGCAAAGCATTCAAAATTTGTGCAACAGCAAACTTGAGACAATTACAATTACAATATTCATAACCACATTCACTATGAACCAAAAAAATAAACACATATACAACTAATGAAATTCCCTAAAAATGTTGCAGCAGTTTTATAAATCGTTGCCATCATCATCATCTCCTATATCTCTAGTGCTTCCGCCAAGCGAACGTCGGCAGCTGCTGGGCACAGCAGCAGGCCACAATGTAGAGTATCCCAAAGAAGAAGTTCAGCTTGGCCGTTTGCCTGGGCACCACATGCATTGTCTGCTCGTTGCGGAACCTCTTCTCGATTTGAAACGCCTGTGGCAGGGTTATTAACGGCAGCAGGAACCACAGCGAGTACTTTAGCCCGAAAATGAAGAACAGTGAGTAGGGTGTAAAGAGCAGCATGGCATATAGCACATGGGAGGCAGTGCGTCCGATGAGTATGGCCAGCGTTACGATGCCCGCCTTGCCGTCGCTTTCCGCATCGCGCGTATTATTGCTGTGCAGAATTGCCTCTGTGTTAAGGGCCAGTGGTATGGCATAGCCCATCGTTGTCCAGTCTACGTGGCCCGTTTGCGACATGAACGCAAATAGCACCGAAATGGGCCCAAACAATATCAAGATGACCAGATCGCCGAGGGCAATGTATTTGAAACCAATACCGCCAGTATATAGAAAGCTCGACGATAGTCCGCCAAAGTAGATCAGCGCCAAATGTTCCATTTTAGCTGGACTCAGCACGGCGAGCAGCACAAAGCCACCGCACCCGGCCATATACAGAATAGCGCCCAGCGAAACCACCTAAAAATAAATAATAATAATTAAAAATAGCTTGCTAAATAAATATAAATAAATACATTTCGTTTTTGGAAGAAGCTACTACTATTTTAAGTATTATTTAATCTGTGAACCAAGCCAGGCTCCAATGAAATGTATTTTAAAAATAAGCGGGCAGAATTTTTAAATAAATAATTTGTATTAAAAAATAGTGTTTTTTTTTAAACGTATTCAATTATTTTTCTAAATTAGGTTTAATCCCAAGAAAGCTTGGACTCCAAATTTTTAATTTCTCCAATCATATTTGGTGGTTGCCAATTTTGGAGGGTAATCAAATCTAGCGCGTAAATTCCATATATATAATTCACATAAATAATTAGACAGACAATTTCGATCGTAAAATATATATTGCTAGCATTTGAAAGAATGTGCTAAAAGATATATTATATATCTTAAAATGCAATGACAAATTCAGTGTGAATTATTGTATGTCGAACAACATCCTAGGTTCTGGAAAGAACCAGGCCTTAAGAAGAAAACTACCCAAAATGTTTTATTTTTTTAAGTTAAAATTGTGAGCAACTAATTAGATTAAGTTTTATGAGTGCTTACCTCATCCTTGGTGAGTATGTGATCGACCAGAGTACGATCGTCAGCCTTTTGTTTATCGATGCCTTTGATGAAATCGAAATACGTGTTGACCACATTGCCGGCACAGTGCACGGTGACCACAGTGAAGGCGGTGAGAAAAAATGTGAGCATGGAAAAGTCGGCCGACCATTGCGATCGATAGGCCAGCGCGGAACCGAGCAGTGTCGGCACCAGGCTGGCTGACAGTGACCAAGGACGCAAGGCCAGCAAATAGGTTTTCAGTTTCATAAACGTGCCGGAGCTGTAATCGTTGGTGTTAATTACTGAAGCTGTTTTGCCGTTCGTCGTCGCAGACGCCAACGTCTCGTGACCGGTGCCGCCATTTACCAAACGCTGCCTCAGCAGCTGGGCTGTTGACGTCATGGCCGTTGCCGTCGCCGTTGCCGTTGCCATTGCCGCTGCCTGGTCCTGCGCTGAAGCTTCCTGCTGCTCGTATTCGCTTTGACTTGTTGCCATTGCAAGCGCTGTGTTCAACTGACAGCTGGAATCTTTGCATTCACCAGCTGAGGCCCAAGTTCGTTGGAAAAATTTACTCTTGTTGACCTCGAATAGTTTCGCTGGCGCTCTTTCTTTTGTTTACAAAAGCATAAATATTCCTGCCGTGTGTTCGCTATAAGTGCTAATATTGTATACACAGCATCATGTGTGTGCTTGTGTAGTATATATGCTTGAGGCAGGGGGTGGCGCTGGCTGAGGCAGCTCCAACAACAAAATTTCACCAACAGCCTGCGTGCTCCAAATCCCAATTGCTCGTTACACTCTCGCCGCTGTCCTTACTTTGCCTCCAGCTGCGCCGCGCCAAACAAGTTGCATGTATGCAACGCTCACGTTTTCTGATATAAATATATATACAAATAAATTTCACTTGTTCTTTTTATTTATTTTGCAAGCAATATCAGATTGCTAGCGAGAGAAGAGAGAGCCTAATCAAACAAACCAACTGTCACGTCAGCGCTGCACAGTTCGGCCACACTGCCGAAATTAGTGCATTTAAAATTAAATATTTTGCAACACTAGCACTGCCCAGTATGCAGCTCGCTATTTCTACCCGCAAGCCTATTTTGCTTGCATGCCTTGATAGCACTATAGATTATTTTAGGTAATGGAATTAGAAAAAAGTATTTAAATATTTTAAATATTAAATTAAATAGTTTTTTTTATGTTGATTAACATATCCTATTTTGATTGACTCATGCACTATAGGCATATTACTCACAAACGTTTTGCTTACATTTTTCGTATCAGCGTACCTTGCGAGCCAGCCCTGAATGTGGACCAACAGCTGTTACATTGCTCAAAATGTTTACATACAAATAATACACAAACGCTAAAATCATGGACTTTAATGTGCACAAGATATGCCGGGTGTGTCTAGAGGAAGGGGCGCCAAGTCCACTGACTTCCATTTATAGCACAGACTTTGCCATGATGCCCTCCCAAATGTTGATGATGTGCTCAAAGATTCGAGTAAGTTGCGCCCACTTAAATACTTTCAATTAACTCACAAATGGCATTTTCAGGTCTATAAGACAGACGGATTGCCTGCCGGCATTTGCAACAACTGCCTTTATAGGCTAGGAGTAGCCTATCACTTTCAGCAGGAGTGCGAAAACAGCGATATGCGTTTGCGTCAATACTTGGGCTTGCACGAGTCCTGGCGCCATGACGCCGCCACAAATACCGAGTTTGCGGCCAACGAAATAAAGCCCCTGCCTCCAAATATTCAGCTAAACTCTAGCGATGAAGAGGAGGGCCAAACTGATGTAAAGCGCAGCAAGCGTCGCTCGCGCTACCAGCGTAAGCCGCCCGAAAGTCACAAGAAACGCGGACCCAAGCCAGTGCCCAAGCTGCCGCACACATGCTATGTGGCCACATGCCACAAGAGCTTCAAGTGTGCCGCCCAGCTCACTCAACATATACGGACGCACACCGGCGAAAAGCCATATGCGTGCAGCTATTGTGCCCAGCGCTTTGCCCAGAAGTACAATCTGAAAGTACACGAAAGAACGCATACCGGCAATAAGCCATTTCAGTGCGAGATCTGTTCCAAGCAGTTCTCAGCGCTGGGCAACTTTCAGGCGCATCAGAAGATTCATAGCGGCGTACGAGATCAGATCTGTTCGCTCTGCCAGAAGGCATTCTACACGGCTGGCGATCTATCCAAGCACATGATCACGCACACGGGCATCAAGAATCATCATTGTGATGTTTGCGGCAAGTCATTTAGCCGACGTCGCGATATGCGCGTACACAAACTAAAGTTGCATCCACTCGAATCCAGTACGGAACATGAAATTGTCGATGACGACGACGACGAGCCCATTGACACGGATCCGGTGGGTCTCGATACCCTGGAGCATGCGCACTTTAAGTGTCCCGACTGTGATAAGGCCTACGATACAGCGGATAGCTTAAGCCTGCATTTTCGTACTCACGCGGCGAATAATAACATATTGAACTTGCCACTGCCACCACCGGCACCGCCACCCATGTCGCATCACTATCACCACCATCATCCGGCCGCAGCACCACCATCCACAGCAGCTATGCATCATCACGATGCCCTGCAGCTGCACCATTTGGCGCCGCCTAATGCAGCCACCCAAATGGGCATGGCGGCAATGGCACATATGCTGGCACCACCACCGCCGCCACCACCCACGCCCAGCGACGGTCGCTACACCATGTTGCATCACACGGCGGCGCAACGTTTGCACTACTAGAAACTAAAATACATGATTAACATATATGTTTAGTATAAGACCAATGTCACGAAATGTCTAACTTTTTAAGAGGAAACATGTCCAACAAACAAATACATTTGTATATATGCCCCTTATAATGACCATAGATGCAGTTTGATCAAATAGATATGACAATAGTTAGACGGAAAGGAACTTTTAAACTTGCAGGTAAAGTTATTATAAAGAATTGATCGGAAATTCTGGTATGTCTTTTCTTTTCACTATGTTAACGAGTTTTTATAAGTTATTTTTTTAATATTATGAACACTTTTATTTAAGCATTACATATGCATATATGTATATATAAAATGGAATTGTTTTTGTCATATTTGCTTTGTATTCGTTTTGTACAATAAATATAAAAATTTGGCAAGCACAGCTTCTATAAGATCATTGCTTAAATGCACAACTAAAATCACTTAAAATGTCATTCAACATACACTTAACCGTAGTTATACTGTACGCTGATGTCTGCTCTACAATTCTTTGTATAAATAATGTTTATCTTGAGTATAGAAAAATTGTCATAATTCATATATTGGTTTGGTATGTATCGTTATCGTTGGTATTATGCTTCGGCTCCATTCAAAATATACGTGTGTATGAGAAACTACTTGTTAAATATTGCTTTTTATACGGCTGCCATTTTGGACTACCTTAGCTGACTCTACTTAAGCTTAGCCCTTAGCCATTCCTCGGTCAACTCGTCCAGCTCGCGTATCTCATAGACGCGTGTCAAGTCCACCTCCCGCTGCAGCGCACTCTTCGTGCAGGCGTACATCATCTGCAGCTCTATCTGACTGTCGCGCGGTGTATAGAATATGAAGCACATTGGATATGAGACGCGCTGATCATCGTGCACCATTTTGTATGTGTAGATAACATAGCGTGGCTGATGGCCGGGCAGTGAGTCTTGCAGCTCCTCGACAGATATGTCATCAATAAACTCATCAAGCACCACCGATTGCTTCTCCCTGTCCACTTTCACTAGATAAGGGATGGTGGGGAAGGTAGGAAAGATAGAAAGCCATCAATCAACGCTCGATTTGCTTTGGACACGCATGCCATGCCGATGCCTCGGGGCCTCGATGACTATATTGTTGCCATGGCAATGCGTACATACATCAAAACTTATAAATTGCCCACTTACATATCAGCGCCGAGTTGGTTTTGCTTTTGCGAAAGCGAAACTTTTTCAGTTCCTCAAGCACCTCATTGCTTATGTCGCATATTTTGTTATCACCCTGCAATGCAGCGAAAGTAATTAGTAAATGTATCAAAAATCACCTTAAACAAAAACGCAAACACAAAAACAAAAAAAAGTGACCCGCCCACATCTCGACTCGCCGCACTTAGCAAAAGTCTTAGTCATAGCTCGGCGAAAAATGCATTGCATATTAACAAACAGAATCTCACCATGAAGATCGGACTGCACTTTGGCTTTTACTGTTGAAAGGGTTTGGTTTTTTGGGAATAAAAGAAGACCGCGGACAATACAAACAATAAAACTATGGCCGTTTAGCTGCTTGGCTTTTACTCAACACTAACAGCTACACATTCAGCTGTGGGCACCCTAAAACTTTTACATTTACTAAAATGTTATTAACAGCGCCAGCCAGCTGTTGTCTAACATTAGCTATTAGCTATACTATCGAATATAAATTAAGTTAATGATAGCACGCGTAAAAGGATAGTTATGAGAAAGGTTTTCTTTCTTTTCAAAATAATGTGTTATAAATCAATTATTTCTTGTTATTTGAACATACAAAAATAGCAACGCACTCAACCTCAACGCGTTTGATTGCTCAGCTATCGATCATTTTTAACTTTAAGAGTTGCCAAGTGTTGCAAATCGCTCAACTTTTACCGCCAAAAAGCAGCCAGGATGCTTAAATTTACCGTTTGTTGCTCCTCGAAACTAGCATTAAATGCATATGCACAATAAGAAAGCAATATGCCGCTAGATCGAATAAATTTAAGCGCAAACGAGGATATAAACCAGTTAAAGCCTTGCTGGATAGCTGGCGACAGAAAATATTCAAATTCACGATTTGCTAGGGTCTTTGCGCGTCATGAAATTAACGCCATCGACGTTGCTGCCAGCTGGTAAGTGTAATTGTAATTTCCTCTTGCTACTATAATCTGAAATTGCAAATATTTTCTAATGCTAGTGATCAAATAAGGGACATGATTGACAACAATCAGGCAAAGACAGCAGGAACGGACAATGCACTCGACACGTGCAACCGTAGAGTGGCTGCGTTTAACGACTTAACACGGCTCACATTCGGCGTAAGCTACATTCTGAGCCAACAGGTGTCCACGCTGCTGGGTAACTTTAAAAAGTATCAATTTGCTATTGCTTATTTATGATAATTATTGTTGCACAGACGATACTAAACATTTGCTGGATCAAATCATGGGCAACAACTTGGAAATACCCTGTCAGGCGGAGCCACCACGTCAAACGCAGACACACGGTTGTCGTAAACGAAAGCGAATCATCGCCACAAAGACAACTACGATGTGTTTAGCCAAGCGCGCTAGAATTAGGGATCCCCAGCTGTTGGATGAGCAAAATATTGACTACTATAGGCACATGTTAACGGAATCGCAGCTGTGGAATACAGACACAGAAAATCTTGAGATTGAGCAGGTATGTCCAGTACAGGTGCATAATTTGCAGCATATCATATAATCTGTATACTTTATCTATTAGTTGCAGACCATTGAAGTGGCACGCACGTGCTCAGCACAGCATGTGATTAGCTTCACACATGAACTGACTATGACGGAGCTCGGCGAGGATATACTGTGGAACGATGGCTTCGGTGAATCAAATCCAGTGGATGTTGCTGCTCTTGAAGAGTTTCTTCCATTTAGAAATTCCTGTATGACAATCTGTTATGCTATATGTATAATCTAATCTACACTTATTTGTTTTAGTAAAGCGCAAATCGACTGATTCAATGCCAACTGGTGTTTTGTGCTACAAAATGCCCAGATTAGCAACAAGCTTGGATCTGTCAAATACTAACGGTAATACGCAAGCACTCGATCTATATCAAGAGATAGAGCCTCTTGCCCCATTGCCGCCGGTATCGCCGCTTCCACCAACAATTGTCGCTCCGGCGCCAAAGCCAAAATTAAAGCCCAAGTTCAAAATGATAGATAAATGCATTAAGCTATCGCGCGAGGTGCTCTTACGCGATAGGGAACTTCTATTTAACAAACTGGAAAGTGCAAAACATGTTAAACCTCAGATTATTAAACATAGTAATAAAAGTGAAACATTGCTGAACACCTTTAGGCAAGAGTAAGTATTTGTAGTTTTTCAAATCTTCCATTTTAATAACAATATTTTTTCCTGGTGCAGTCACCTTTTTCCAGAACGTTTAAAAAAACATTTACAGCTGAGCAGCGAACAAATCGAGTTGGACTGTGAATATACAATACGCGCTATTTTTGGTGAGGATTATAGTGATGATCTGGTCGGTGAGATCTTGTCGGCAATTCCAGTAAGGGCTCAACCGACAAACCGTTTAGAAGAGGCTCCTATGCCAATGCTAGAGCTAGCTGAAAACCAATCACCTCATGTACTCGAGCTGCAACAATGCAGCAATAGCAATAATAACAACACATACGAGCACATAAAAAGTAATGAGGAACAGAATTTTGGTATGTAAACGTGTAACTTGAGCTGTATTTGTTAACTCATGTCTTACTTATTATCAACAAAGATTCATTGAGCATCATGATGGATTTGCTCAACATATGGCGCAATGATCCTGATAGAAAGACTATTGATGCCAACAAGTTTGTAAAGTCCTTTCCGGATCGCATTAAAGCGGCTTTGGCTTTTAGCCATTTGTTAAGTAAGACATGATGTATATTTAATTATGATAAAATCTCAACATATTTAACAATAAAATGATCTTTGCTTAACAGCTCTTTCACGTGACGGATTTATAAAGCTCTCCGCAAAGCCGAAATCTGTTGAAATTGATGCCATTACGTTGGGCGAAGAATCTGTCAGACTTATTGCAAATATTTCGACATTTGAACAGCTAAATTAATTAAAACTCATTTTTTTGGGCGAAGCATCTAATTCAAGCTTCGGGAAGTTCAATTAATTACTACTCTATTGCTTATATATTGTTTTTCTTTTCTTTTTTTTTTTTATGTATAAAAACTCGTTCCTTGTTATCGTTATCATAACTATAATTCATTAACACTTTTGTAATTCTCTAAATCGTTCTTTGTTATCTTTTGTCTTAAACTTCTGTACTTAATCCCAGGACAACCAAAATATATGAAACAAAATTATTGAAATTAAATACCAATTTGCTGGGCCAGACCCGCATAAATATGCAGCGAACAGAAGCCGATGATGGCGGCCACCAGCGCTTTAACCGCAATCGCCGACCAGGGTCCAATGCTCAGTATATGCAACAGACCTTCCAGCCAGACTCCTTTGAAAATGGTGACTGCCAGCAAAATGGAGACTAGGGGTTTTAATGCTTTGTTGAGATCGTGACGCGTGAACAGCCAAATCAGCGTGGCAGTAGTCAGATGCTGTACGAGCAGGACATTGGACTCCAGGCATTTCTGTATGTAGATCCAACTAAACTCGGTGCCGCGGGCGCCCACCCACAGCATAATGCCACGGGAGAGTATTACCTCCGCGGTAGCCCCTGAAATGTATGAGACTCTTTGCAATGCATGTTTTTATTTCATATGATCCACTTACAGCCCAGTCCAGCGGTGATGAGTTTGGAATGGCCCTTGCCAGGAATGCGGCTTAGAATGAGCGCGAATCCAAGTAGATCTGCCACGTCCACGCTGCAGCGCAGAATCTCCTATATTTAGATGCGTTTAATTAGATCTGACCTCAATTTTAGATTTGTCAACCACTTACCGCAAAGAAATTAAACTCCCCGCTATTTGGCGCCGAATCCGAGTAGAAGAATGTGGCTAAAACGAGCATTTTACAGAGCTGTGTGAATATGTAAATGCAACCCGCTTGCACGCATTTCCAGAATGCGCCATACTCTGACCTGAAAAGATAAAAAATGTTTATTGATTAATACGATTTATTAGTTGCCCCAATATAACATCTAGTACGTACAGGCCCGAGTATTTGTATGTAAAGTAATATGGCAAAAGAAGCGCAACACAGTTTCCAAAGTGATAAAGCGTCATTTTATCTTATAAACCACGATTTTTTCTGTTAATTAAGTTGAAACATTAATTTATTGTACAATTGGCACACGAGACATCAATGAAAAAAACACTAGGCAGAGGAAGAACGGCGAGAGTAATAGCAGCTGTCAAATATTGCCGGTGGTGCTGTCAACTTGTGTAAATTGGGCATTTAAATACCAACATTTCGCTCTTCAAGGGTGAAAATAATAAATACTATTTCTTATTATAAAAGCTGAATAATGATAAAAGTAAAACTTTATAAGAGAGCTCGAAGCGAGGCTATTAAATGAAATATGTTTGTACTTAAGCTCATTTAATAATTATATTTGTTCATTATTAGTATTTTTTTTAATTTACAACTTTGAAGTGCGTTGGCAGCTCGAGGCGCCAGCAACACGTCATCTGTCATCTGGGACGCCTTGTCTGTGTGTGTGTGTATGAGTTTTTTTTAGGACAAAATATCCAGCAACTCTTAATTAAATCGCTAAATTCCACAGAATATGTTCTTAAGAAATTTATAAAAATATATTCAGCGTAAACACAAAATTCGGCCAAAAGCGACAGCACATATAACTGAATTGCCTGCAGATTGCAAAACAACAATTTTCGCCAAGCGTTTCGCAAGTCTAAACACGACAAAAACAACAGTAAAAGCACAACGCAGTGCATGACGAATGCAAGAAAAAGCAACGTCAACAACAAATACTTTAGCAACAACAACAACCAGTAGAAGAGCAACAGCAGCAGAGGAGCTTGACTTGAAATGAGATGCAAACTCGACGTCGTCATCAACAAACGGACCAGCAGGAATTCAGCAGCAATTACAGTGCCCCGCTATTGCCACTGCAGCAGTCACTGCCACAGCCACAGCAGCAGCAGCAGACGCTAATCCAACCGGGGCAGACCCAATTATTGTACGCAGCTCAGCAGCCCACGTTCGAAGCTGCCATTAATATTGGCGACGCGCAATCCAGTGTAGAAGCAGACGATAAGTACGAGAAGGCAGCCCGCCAGTGGAATTTGTTTAGTGGCATCTCGTCAAGGTCGGGCCAGGCGCTGCGCACGTTCATACAGCAGCCACTGAGCGCCGCTGCGGCTGTTGTTACCGGCAATCATTCAAACCAAACACAAAACTCCGACAATAATAACAGCAGCTACGATAAAGGCATCTACAATTTTGGAGCGCCTCAAGCACAGGTAGAGCCTGACGAGTTTGACTTGGCAGAGGAGCAGGAAGTATTTATAATGGCAGCACGAGATCGTACAGGCGAGTTCGCCAATGCGATACGTTCGCTACAGTCACGGAACATCTCACGAGCGGTTAATATACGGGATCCACGCAAGGCCAAACAAGTGCAAAGCTATTCCGAGTTCATGATGGTGGCCCGTTTCATAGGCAAAAACATTGCCAGCACATATGCCAAACTGGAGAAGTTGACCATGCGTACGTCAATCCTTCATAATATCAAATCTCGGTTAATGCTCACGTATTTTCCATTTAATTGCAGTGGCCAAAAAGAAGAGTCTGTTTGATGACAGACCGCAGGAGATACAGGAGCTGACGTACATCATCAAAGGTGATCTGAATGCATTGAACCAGCAGATCGCCAAACTTCAGGACATCTCTAAGGATCAGCGACGCACCACAAACGGCAAGCATCTGGTATCACATTCCTCAAACATGGTGCTCGCCCTGCAATCCAAGTTAGCCAGCATGAGCACAGACTTCAAGCAGATCCTTGAAGTGCGCACAGAAAATCTCAAGCACCAGAAGACGCGACGCGATCATTTTAGCCAGGGACCAGGACCGCTGGCCGCACACACCGTTTCGCCTTCGACTGCCAAACAGGGTTCTCTGCTGCTTAGCGAGGAGAACCAAGCAGTTAGCATAGATATGGGCGGCAGCGATACGACGCCGCTGCTGGGACCGCCGGCACGCCTGCAGCAACAGCAACAGCTGGCCATTTACGACGAGTCCGACACGTATGTGCAACAGCGTGCCGAGACCATGCAGAACATCGAGTCCACAATTGTGGAACTGGGTGGCATATTCCAACAGCTGGCGCATATGGTTAAAGAGCAGGAGGAGATTGTTGAACGCATCGATACGAATGTGGCGGACGCGGAATTAAATATTGAGGCAGCGCATGGCGAGATACTCAAATACTTTCAATCCGTTTCAAAGAATCGTTGGCTCATGATTAAGATATTCGGTGTACTAATATTTTTCTTCCTGTTCTTTGTTGTTTTTATGTCATAATTAATGCTAAATACCCCAAACCCTGCCCCGCTCGATTCAATTCTAAATTATTGTGAATACATGGCATATACACATATATATATATGTATATAAATATATTTTTATGGAAATGGAGTTTAAAATGAACAAAAGCAAAAGATTGCATTCTTGATTCCAATCCAAAACCGAACCGACTAAAGAGTGTAAAATAAAGTTATCAAGATACGTACGAATCTTATGTTGTTTCCATGCTGAACTTGAAGAATTATAAACTGTATCTTGTAGGTTTGACGGCTGATAAGAACGCGTTCTAATCTTTACGATCCGCGTACTTCATAGATATGTGGCTACCATTTGGACTAGTCTGCTCCGAAACTCAGTTGAACAGGCCGCTGTCTCTCAGGCTATGCAAAAATATAAATTAATACTTAATTATAGTATTTTGATTTTTCCTCTTTTACTTTCTTTTATTCTTAGGCTTCAACTACCAAATGCAAAACTAATAAAAATAATAATAAAAAAACCTTTACAAATCTCCAACAGTACATAACCCAGACGCATTGGCAAAGATGTTATTGTTATGGTTCGCATTATGAATAAACTCGCAAATTTTTACACATGAAACATTGTTCGTTGCTCCCAAATGGAGTTGTATGTGTGTGTGTGTGTGTGTGTGAGGCCAAACACAATGACAACTTTTATATAATGATGTAGATGTAGATGCGCCGGTGCCAACAATGAGATCCCCTCGCAGCTGTCTTTTTACCCTCTATGTAGAGATGAGCGAATAAACCATGCTAAAATTAGCAGAAAACAAAACAAAACATTGAGTTAGACGGGCACAGATTAATTTAAAAGCATTATTACCCGTATATATAGTAGAAGAAGCTGATCAAGTAGACGGCCAATTTAATCCAACCCTCGCGCAGATTGCGGGATAATGTGTCCGTTTTCAATACGGTGGTGGGGTCATACAAGCCCGGACCGGACATAAGGGGCCGATTCTTGTAACTGCAAGCGATTAATAAAACATACCATATAAATCATAATTTATTTGAGACAACAACAACTTACCGCCATATGTGATAGGCTATGAGAGGTATATTGAGGCACAGTGAATACCATTCGCCGCAGAATAGGAAAAGCAAATTGAGGAATAGGTGCAGCAAATATTCTGGTAAGACGAGCTGTAAAAACGATTAGTCATTGCATTGGTAATGTACATGCTGATATAATCAAGGTGCTTACCGGGTTGAGGCTGTTGCACTGATCGATTGGATTTTTATAATCTGTTTTTAGCTCATCGAATGCAATCACATGAAATATTGCGAAAAATATTAAAAATGCGTCGCCAATGAGCGCCACAATATACGTGAATGCGGTGAAATTAAAGGCCATTGTTAGAAGCGGGCGTCACTCGAATACTGCTGGCTGATATTTGAAGCTGTGGAAATTAATTGGCTGTTTATTTTAATTAAAATTAGTTTAAACTACGCACTTGTCCTGCTACATGAGTGTATGAGTCGTGTAGAATGATGATGACAGTTGCGGCTGTCGATTGTCTGTTAGCTTAAAATGTTGACCTGGTGTTAATAACAGCATGTTTCAGTGTTTCCCTATTCCCTTTTTAGTTGTTCAGTTTCTTTGGTTTAAAGAACGATTTATGAGAAAAAACGGCCTTATGGCCATTAATTTTTGTCGCTAATTGACATATATTTGTTATTCACAGATGATAACAGAAAAATAATTAACCACAAAATTGGAACGACAGATTCTGTAAAGGGTGTGTCGACTGGGATGTGGAAGACAGCTGTAGCCCAGGGCTGCAAGGCTTTTAACATAATTATCACTTATGAATTCCGATAATGCGATTTACGAACAATATTAAAGTCACACATGAATTTTGTTAGGCTTAGCATATTTTATAATTTTTAATTAATGTTAGTCAGTGCCTTGCACGGTAAAAGATTTATACTTTTGATCTGTTGTTTGCTTGAAGCTTCCTAGTCTGGACTGTGCAGCCCTGGTAGCATTTCTCGCGGGATTTTCATATCTATGCATTTCTAAACCGCCATTGCAATTTTTACAGTAACAAGGAAACTATTGGATGAAAAACGAAAAAGCTTTACAATCGATTAAAGATTTTTGTGATAGATAAATAAATACAAAAATAAACTAAACAAGCAGAGACTGTAATTTATATGTAAAAATGTCTCAGTTCAATTTTGTGAGCGACTTACAAAATGCATTGATCATGGATGGCGAGACGCGTGGTCCTGCGCCGCGCTGGAAGAAGAAGCTGGAGGCGTCCCTTAATGGCAGCGTAAATACCACACGGTCCGTGCTATCCGTTTCATACAATACCAGCTTTTCGGGCGTCCAAGCGCCAACCAAGACACCAGGCAAAAGCGCCGACGCGAAAGCTAAAAAGCCGACGACAACGCCAAGCAAGACGCCTGGCGGCGGGGATCGCTTTATACCTAATCGTGCTGCCACCAACTTTGAGTTGGCACATTTTCTGGTAAGCAATGCAGCTTGGTTAATAGATATGGAGTGTAAATACGAGTTAATTAACAGGTTAATAAGGACGCTGGCGACAAATCCGACGAGGAGAACGACCAACAGCCGACGAGCAGCAACAGCAATGAAAATAATGTGCAGGCATCTGCTCATAAGGGCGAACGCCAGAAACTCATCGCCGAAGTGGCCCAGGTGGGCGAGAGCAGCAAGAGTGGACGCATTTTGTGCTATCAAAATAAGGCACCCGCAGCTCCCGAATCCCATACGAATCCACTCAAAGTTGTCTATTCCCTGAAAACGCCGATTTCGACAAAGAGCGGTTCACGCTACATTCCAACGACATCGGAGCGCATACTTGATGCTCCAGACTTTATCAATGACTACTGTAAGTCGTGTTCACTTTCCTTTTAGTATACATTTGCTTATCCCTTGTGAATCGACAGACCTAAATCTAATGGACTGGAGCGGTGATAATATTGTGGCCGTTGCTCTGGGCAACTGCGTTTATCTGTGGAATGCAGCCAGCGGCAACATTGAGCAGCTGACCGAGTACGAGGAGGGCGACTATGCGTGTGCGCTTTCCTGGATACAGGAGGGACAGATTTTGGCTATTGGTAACAGCACCGGCGCCGTGGAGCTCTGGGATTGCTCGAAGGTGAAGCGTTTGCGCGTGATGGATGGGCACAGTGCACGGGTCGGCTCTTTAGCCTGGAATTCCTATTTGGTGTCGTCGGGCAGCCGCGATGGCACCATTATACACCATGATGTGCGCTCCCGCGAACACAAGGTGTCCTCGCTAAACGGCCACGCCCAGGAGGTGTGCGGCCTCAAGTGGTCCACCGACTTCAAGTACTTGGCCAGCGGCGGCAACGATAATCTCGTAAATGTTTGGTCGCTGGCCGGCAACGGTGTGGGCACCGCCACAGAGCCATTGCACAAGTTCAATGAGCATCAGGCGGCAGTGCGTGCCCTGGCCTGGTGTCCCTGGCAGCCCAACACCTTGGCGTCGGGCGGTGGCACTGCGGATCGCTGTATCAAGTTCTGGAATGTGTGCAATGGCTCGCTCATCAAATCGGTAGACTCGAAATCGCAGGTGTGCGCGTTGCTCTTCTCGCGGCATTACAAGGAGCTGATATCGGCGCACGGCTTTGCCAACAATCAGCTGACCATCTGGAAGTATCCGTCGATGATCAAACAGGCCGATCTAACCGGACACACATCGCGCGTGCTGCAAATGGCCATGTCACCCGATGGCAGCACTGTGATAAGCGCTGGCGCCGACGAAACGTTGCGTCTGTGGAACTGCTTTGCACCCGATCCCATGGCGGCCAAAAAGGTGTCCAATGTCAATAGCAATGCCAAGAAAAGCGTCTTTCGCCAGAGCATACGCTAGTTGATCGATCCATTGACCCATTGACTGGCAGAAACTGAACTGCATTTTGTTTAAACTAGCGACAAATTCATTATTTTATGATAAGATTCTTGTAGGCAGCCAATTGATGTTTTTTTTTTATAAGTATGTGACTTTCAATATTTGATATGTGTATTTTCTATATATTTAAGTTTGTGCATTTTATATATATTATGTATTTATAAATTTAAAATTGATGTAACATATAAATAAAATGCTTGCCATACTGCAACCTTATGCTTTATTCTTTTCGTATATGTTATTTTGTTTTCGTTTAAAAGTAGATTGACGGGCTTACATGGTAAACAATATTGTATATATTTTTTTGAGTTTTTTTTTCGGCTTTTTTTTTGTCTCTTTTATTGTAAGTACATATTAGTTGGTTGCATTGCTGTAGCTCTTCAGGTTTTTTGAGTTTTCTCGTTTGTTTTGTTTTGTTCATCGTCGTGTGGAACTTTGTGTCAAAATATCGCATATGGGCTTCGGGATCAGCACAGTTCTTTGCCGATAAGCAGCTGTTATTGGAATTATAGCGTTGTTAAATAATTATATGTATTATGGAGCTGTTCTATGTACAATTGTTGATGCAATTTCAAGCAACTGTCATGGGATTGCCGCCATTATAGCTGACAAAGTAGCGCGGATCACCGAAGCGATCGTACACCTGCAAGAATATCAGACATAAAAATCGAATATGAACATCAATAATGAAAGAATAATCAAATAATTGATTGAGTAAAATAAATGAAAATCAACATAAGAATACCAACAAAATAAGCAACAAAACGCAAATTTGGCTATATAATCATGCAATTGAAAATATGTGCGTACTTACATACCTTTTATAATGACTCGGCTCAAAAAATAATATCATTTTTGTGTAATCCAATATTTTTTACATTTTTTTTTTGTTTTGGTTTTTTTTTTTTTTTGGTTTTAGAATAAAATGTTTATTTGCAACATAATTCATTCAGTCAAAACATTGAAACATCAATTAGATTTAACTAACTTAGGTTAAATAAAGTGTGTATAGTTCTTGCATTTTCATTTCTATACTTTCTTCTTTTTTTTTTCTTCCATATATCGGGGTTAGGAGCCAGCATGTTTGACTGCTAAATACGTACATTTGTATAGTTCTAGTTCTAGTTCTAGTTCTAGTTTTAGATATATCTCTATATGTTAGTTGCTTGCACATACACACACAGTCACGCACACTTATAAACAAACACACATACACTCTCACATAATACAGTCGAAAGGAGATAGAGAGAGCGCGAGAGCTGGGGTGGGGAGTAAGTGGTACTGAGAGTGAGAGAGCAATAGACATCTAGTTACATAGACAGCTTAAATTAGACAACATATAATAGACAGAGTGAGGGGGGTGGGGGAGAGTAGCATAAATATCTCATGAACAGCTGATGGATGTTGAATAGTTACTTATGTAATGTATACATGTATCTAGATATTGTGTATTGCATTTTGTTCGTTATTTTGTTGGTTGATTCTTACAGTGGGCAACTTTTAGCTTTTAACTGGACGCTCTACTAAAACATAGAGCAGTCTTTTTCTATATACACATGTATGTGTATATATATATGTATATATATATGTATATCATATAGAGCGGACGGTTATTTCTATTTGCAGCTGTTCTTTTCTATACATTTTTTTTTTTTTTTTTTTTTTTTTTTTTGGTTGGTTTCACAATACATAAGTGTTACAATACAATTTCTCTTTTTTTTTTTCTCCTCATTTTTGTTTTTCTAGTTTCAACTTTAGCTGAAGACCAGTTCAGCTTTTTTACTTTTTTTTTTTTTTGAACATTTTGGAAGCTGTTGGTGGTGACCCGTGATGATAACTTATGTTCTATGGGGGTTTCTCAATGATATTCTATAGATGGTTGTTTGTCTGTTTTTTTTGTTTTTCAGATTTTCTTGGTTTATGTTTTTTGTTTAGGCTGTGACGCTCACCTTCGTATCGTCTAGATCTTCAATATCGCTACTGTCGTAATCACTATCGGGCGGTGTTAATGTCTCCGCGCCGCGTTTCTCTAGTATGTTCTGCATGCGCGATTTATTCAATATGCTGGCAACCTGATATGCCGTTAGGCCGGCATATGTGGCCGTCTCCAGGTTGAGTTTCTCGCATTCGTCTAGCAGAAAATTGGCCAAATCCTCGTTGCAGCACTCAATGGCAATGTGCAGCGGTGTGCGTCCACCTTTGCCCTCCTATAATTAATAATATAAAATACAAATTTTTTATAAATAATTGTTGCTAATATTAATATTATTAATAATAATATCTTGTTTAACTTACCCGGGCATTTATGTCGGCGCCGTGAGATACTAAAATGCGCAAGATATCAATGTGTCCAGCGCCAGCAGCCAAATGCACGCAGCGTTCACCTGCAAAGGTAAAAATAAAATTGAAAAAATCCAATTAATTAATTGCTTTTAGGAAAATGCATTTGGCACCACTGTGCGTTGTTCGAGCTACATTTATGAATGAAATACGATCCCTTGAAAAGTGCTCTGCGAAAAAGCTCCGCCGTGTTGTTGTTTAACAAGTAGCGTTTTAACAACAAGAGCAAGAAAAAGCTTTGATTACGCCAACAGCAGATGGGGCCGGCGGGCGGGCGGGGTGGTCGTACAGATGAGGGGGTAAGCTTAGCGAGCGCGTTTTGCCATATGAAGACAATGTGCACACTAACACATACATAGACACGGGCACACGCACACGCACATGTGCTTGACTGCGTGTGCCTTTTGCATTGGTGTGCGTTGAAAAACCCAAGAAATTCCCACAATAAAACAGCAGCAATAACAGCTACAACAACAACAACAACAACTAAAAAACCAGCAATGGCATAAAAAGCGACGGCAACAAAAACAACAAAAATGCAAAAAAAAATAAAAATAAAGTTAACAAACCCAACAAGCTGACTTTTGTTGGAGCCGCAAGTTTGATCAAGTTCAAATTGGTTTCAGTTAAAAGAGCAAAAATGTTTGCGCATAATTTAACGACGTCCAGAAAAAGACACCAACAGCAACAGCAACAACAACAGCTGCAATAACTCAACTGACATTCGACGCGTTGTACTAAACGACGCTTATATATACATATATATATATATATATATATATAAATAAAACAAGATAAAAAAAAAACAATGCTCAAATTGTATTCCGCTGCTCGATCGCGCATACAGATTAACAAAAGCACAACAACAGCTACAACGGCAGCTTTTGACTGTTGCCGCAGCAGCTGTTGTTGTTGTTGTTGTGGGTTTTGCTGTTGTGGGTTTTGCTGTTACACGTGCTGTTGATTAACTTTCACACACAAACAGCTCAGCTGCTGTTCAGTTGCTCATTTGCATTCAATTTCCGTAAGAACTTTCAATAAAACGCATAAAGCTGCGCATGCATTGCCAACGATATGTGCGAGCGAGCGTGTGTGTGTGTGTGTGTGTGTGTGTGTTGGCAATATTTGCAAATTGCAATTAGCTTGATTATTTGCGCCGATAAGGATAAATATCTATGAGCTGAACTAGATTGATTTTTTTTTTTTTTTTTGCCTGGGCACAAGTTGGTTTTGCAAAGGTGCGATTAATGCGTATTAGCATTAATTGCCGCGAGCGTTAGAAATTAATCATGCCGATGATTAAGGCTGACTCAAATCTATTCATGCGCATGATTAAACTTTATGACAACGACAAAAACATATTCTAAAAGCAGCTACTAGCCGAAATGCGACAAAAGAATTATATATGTACGAGCTATACATAGCTTGGCTCGCAAAGAAAGCAGATATCTGGCAAGAAAGTTAAAGCCGGCTCGGAACCGTTGCCAGTTTGTTGTCTCAGTCCAGTTCGGGCAAAGGCTCACAAACAATAACAACAATTGTGTCACAAGTTTTAAATATAAACGATGACAGCATTTTTTTTGTTCGTCCGCCTCTGTCTGTGAGCCAAACGGAGCGAGTCCGAGCCGGCAGCATCAGCAGGGCCAAGAGAAGTCGAGATTATAATACGAGCGCATAAACTCGATGGCAATAGTAAAAGCCAACTCAAGCCAAGTCAAGCACAGTTCCATTGTTGCCAGTTGCCAGTTGCCTGGGTCTTGTCGATCGTTAGCATACGATTAAAGAGCTTGTACATATACATAAATATGGTATATAAATATGGTATATATATATATATATGTGTGTAGGTACGTTTAGATTAAATATGAAATATTAAACATACAAAAAGTTTGCCTCAAACTTGGGGAATTCCCAAGCGTGCTGCGTCACGCGCTTTAGATTTCAAATCGTTGCGAATCCGTTCCAGAGCTCGGTTTGGGTAGATTATCATCATCCAAAGCTCTGGCTGGACTTGTTGCCAACAAGTCTGAGCACAAAACTTGACGAACCAAACAACCAACCCGCCCTTCCCCCTCTCTCACTCTCTCTCTCTCTCCACCAACCGATCGTAAAACAAGACAAAAGCAGTTAAACTTGAAATGGCGATTTCGTCGGCCTGCTTTTCAGATAATATAATAATAATAATAATTATAACGCTAATCGAATGTGAGCTTGGGCAATTAATAAGCGTTACGAAATGCTCCCGAGAATTGCGCATTCAATGCGAATCCTCCAAAATAAAAGTCGACTAAGCAAAAATATCACACTAAACTCTCAATGTTCAGGCCACTTGACATTATGCACCTGGTACTTTCCGCAATTGTTCAACTGTTCTGGCCTTTTGTTATCGCCCACCACCCACCAACGCCCCCTGCTCCACCCCCTTACCGCTTTGCTGTCCCTGCTCCAGTTTTTGTTAGCACAGGCGGCAATTTCCGACCTTAAGCAAAAAACCCGAGTCGCAAGCAAAGTTCACAAATTTATTGACAGCACAAATATTAAAGAAAGAAAGAAAAAACCGTTTTTTTTTATATTTTGTTTTGTTTTTGTCTTTGGTTAATTTTAATTAATTGTGCTTATTGTTAGCAAGCGAACTGTGTAGAGTTTTTATTTAATAATATTTTTTTTTTGGTATTTTGACAACTTGTTTTGTTTTTGTGGCTTACCGACACATCCCCCCTCCACCCCTTCCCGTACTGCCCCGCCCACTCGTATCAATCGCAGTTCGTTGGTTGTTTGTCCTT